AATCTTCTTCACCCTTGTTCTCTTCAGAGAGTGTTTCTTGTTTCTTCACACTGGGAATCACAAGTGACAGAAATGCCTGGTCCTGTCCGGCAGGATTTTGCACCTGCTCTCTAGTTTCCATCTCATCTTTCTTCCGAGGCAGTTCCTTTCCCTTCTTTTCCTCTGTGTGTTTCTTGGTATGTTTTTCCTGAGTGTGGTGCTTGATGGCAGCTTGACTTTGGGCATGGTAGCTGCAGTACTTACACTGGAATGTCTTTTTCCAGAACTGGAGGATTTTTGTGTCCGCTGGCTTGGGTGGGAACACAGGTTCTGTCTTGTGCTGAATGTTCTCTGTTGGTTTCACAGCATCCCACATTGATCTCCCCACATAAGCCCTCGCTGCTGATCTTGCTTCTTGTTCAGTTACTTCTTTGGTACCATTCAAGGCTGTTGTCAAATCTAAGGGACATACAATGTCTTCAGCTGAAAGTGTGCACAAGCTGTCCTCAATTCTGTTTTCATTTGTATCAGATGGTGTGAGTGTATTTGAATTACAAGATCCTTTCTCTGTTAAGAAGTGTTCTCCCGATGACTGACCTACTGTACAGTCCACACCAGGAAATGTCCCAAAATTCAGGTTTATATCTTTCATTGGACCCTCTGTACTAGAAGCTGGTAAAGTGTCTACAGCAAGAGCTTCTACTTCCTTTTCTCCACATCTAGACTCTTCTTTCTTGTCTTTGATGTTGTCCTTTCTATTTGAAACTGCATCTTTGTCAAGTTCATCTTCTTGTCTGATCTTCTTCCCCGAAGGTTGGCTATCATCCCCATCACTATACATACTGATGCGGTTCTCCCCTAGTGGCATCTCTAAGGTAGGAAGGCCCAGGTCCAGATGACAGGTCGGGGCCTCCAGCGATGACTGAGATGAATCTGGGTCCCCGTCTTCTGCACCCGTCTCAAAAGTCAGACTATCCATCTGTCCTTCAGAAGCTTCCAGTTCAGTCGCAGAGTTCAAGGTCACGTTTTCTGGAACGTTTTCTGTTGTGGAGTCAAACTCCGAGATGTCGGCGAGGTCTTCTTCTGTCATGTCCTTTTCTGTGTATATCATTGGTGTTTCTCCCCCAGACATCTGCAGATCATTTTGCCCAGCGTTTGACTTGCCATTCTCAGACTGACAAGGAACTTCAAGTTCTTCTGGGCACTCCTTGCAAGTGGATATATTTTCTTCCTGTTGGTTGATTGATTTATCCTGTAGTGAAGACTCTGCCTGTAGAGTGCCACTGGTTTCATTGTAATCTTCCCCAGACACATCGTGCCCTATACCATTTCCTTTCACAGAATTGTGGCTTCCTACTTGTTCTGTAGCACTTGTTGTATCTTCGTTGCTTGACCTTACAATTTGCATGTTACCTCCTGTGGCTCCACAGCTTTCTTTCACACTCATGTTTTCTTCAGCTGCGCTCTTCTGCACTGAGGTCAGCTTGACACTATTGTCCTGATCACTTATATTTGATTCTGTGACCTCTTCAGTTGTTGCTACATCATGTATACTTTCCTGGCAGTCTGTTGCAGGATCTGTAAGACGTGTCACATTTTCCTTCGGACTAACAGAAGACTGTACTGTTATAGTCTCTGAAATTGGCTCTGGGATCACCGTGGTATCTGTTCCTAAATCAGTTTCCTCTGTACTGTTTACAGAACGATCCCCTGGTTTAGCCCCTTCAGTCTCTGATGTGTGTTTTGCTGGGACAGGCTCCAGACTAGCTTTATCAGATTTCTTTTGATCGCTTGCCATCAAGCTTTCTGTTTTGCTCAAGTCTTTCAAGTCTGTTATTTGTTCACTTATGTGGTTAGGATCAGTTGCAGGATGCCTCTTTCCATCTATGGGTACACTGTTTATATTATCTGAACAAGAGCTCTCCCTGTTAGCAGTAGGTTTGACATGTCCTTCTGCAAACATATCATTTTCTGGATGTCCACTAGAATCCCTTCTTGGCATCATGTCACCTCCCTTCTCTGGGGTACAGTCAAGTTTAAGAGACAGAGAATCCCCGGCACTGTCTTGGCTTGTAACTACGCTGTCTTCTACACCATGAATGTCCAAACCATGGATGTTGGTAGAGTTAGTTTCAGATGCAGGCTGCTCTTCACTGGCCTGTATAGCAGAGGTGGAAGGCACAATGTTCTGGACCAACTCAGCGACTGTTCCTTCTGAGGCCTCAGGAGAAACTAAAATCAAAAGAAATATTTCATACATTCAACAATAACTGGTGTCTTGTAGTTATCATTCATAGCAATTAGTACACTAGTTAGAAATGAATGATACAAGAAAGTATTACACAACTTCACAGATAAAGGCCAAGGTAGCACTTCCTTACCTGAGTCTTCTGTGCTGATCTTATTGTTGTCTATCACCCATCCCTCCTGCTTGGTACTGTCCGGCTGGCCTTCCATTCTGGCCTGGATTCACCTTCCACCTCTCAGGTTTGCAGATAGTGAACCTAATAGAAAATAATAACAACAACAATCATAACTACAAATATACTATACACATAGACATACACATATACACATACACATACACATGCAATACAAAATGTGACAAGGATCTCTGAAATAATCACGTTTACAATATTGGAGGCAGACCATGAAAAGGCATATAGATTTACCTTTGGATTACTAGTATTGAATAATGTATGATTTATTATTTTCTGACCATGTTTCCCAAACATGAGACTGATGCTATTGAAAATTGTAATGTTGAATTGTAATGTACAGAAAATGATAATCACTTTCAAGCAAAATTTCTGAAGCAAAACAATTCCTGCATTAAGAGAATATATCGAGGCAGTACAGGCATTTGAATATACAAGTATGACATGTTACCTGCAATACTACACTAACAAACCAAATGTATACATAAGTAATGGGACATACAAATTTGTAATAATGATTTAGTAGCCAGGACCTTACAAAGCTGACGAAAAATCCATATACAGCTGTACCGTACTTAATCTAGCTTATCTAGATGTAGACTAGGAGATTGTGCAAAAATTAGGTGGGATACCCACACCTACATACCTATGTACTTTGCCATTCACTGAATCATAGCAACAATGAACACTCTGACTGTGTACCTCTATTATAGTCCAGGGATTAAGTGTTTGCACTCGGGTTGCAAAGTTCAAGTGAGGTGAAGCTATACCTTACAAACAAACAACACACCCACAATGCCATATGACAATGGAGACTTTGAAACCTCTACAGCTTTAGGATACCATAATACAACTTTTTACAAGGAAACCCAACTTTCTGACTTGAGGTAGACAGATATGAAGGTTTATTACTGGAGTAGAAGTACAAATGTATGAACAGCCAAGGTAGTCAGATCAAAAGAGCAGACACAGGTGTACACTGTCATTTAAGGTTAGATCTAAACCTGTGTGTACTGTCTAAGTCCAACAAGGTATGCATTCACATGGATTAAATGAAGTGGAAAAAAAGCAAGGCCAGAGAAAACAAGCTGGGCGACATGCAATTTGCTTTGTAAGAAAGCCTAAGGCACTAGTTAAGTAATACATACAGGGTTTGTATTTGGGTAAACATGACAGACTTCTTAAACATAGAAGGTTTTTGACTTGGAAAGTTCAGTGAGTATACATTCCATGGATAAACTGACTGCAAAAACTAATGAATGACACATTTCTGACATTCCTAACTTATTTGCAGAGCAAAACAGATTAGGAATTACTGGATCCAATGTACAAGGTTACAATAACATGGGCCTTGGATAACTTACATCATTTAAAGGACAAATCCAATACTTTCAGTTTTGGGGCCTTTTCACCCAAAATCCTATTTGTAAATGGTGATTTATTGGTTTCTGCCAACCCCGCAGATATTTGCGGTTATATCTGACCCGCTCGATGTTCCCCGGCTAGAGCCCAATTGTCCGCTAGGCGGCGCAGCGACTGTAGATTTGACGTCACCGTTTCCATTCTGCTACTAGCGAAAACAATCATGGCGGGCGCATCTGGACTGCATCGGCTGTGAAACCCTTCCGTTTTGAGCCACAGACAGACAGTAGTGGTGACTCTGACCCCGATCCAGGCAATGAGAACGTTTGGGATGGAGGTGACGTGGAGACAGAGCGTTGGAGGTTGGGGAACCGGGACTGGTGCCGCTGTGGAAACTGCCTGGAATTGCCCTCTGTACGGGAGTGTTTGTTGCCACGACCTGCCAGACACTGTTCAAAAAGAACGTCGGTCCAGACCACCCATGCATTAGAAACCACCCTGACTTCGATGTGATTCTCCACCCGGCAAACCTCCGAACTTTGCTGATTTTTCGTTGGGATCTGATCCAGCAGGGCGTGCAGGAGCCGGTCTCTAACAGGTCGGTACCACGGTTTGTTTACGTTGCAATTCACTCAACCCTTTGACAAATTTATTTACATCGATCGCCCAACCTCCAACGCTCTGTCTCCACGTCACCTCCATCCCAAACGTTCTCATCGCCTGGATCGGGGTCAGAGTCACCACTACTGTCTGTCTGTGGCTCAAAACGGAAGGGTTTCACAGCCGATGCAGTCCAAATGCGCCCGCCATGATTGTTTTCGCTAGTAGCAGAATGGAAACGGTGACGTCAAATCTACAGTCGCTGCGCCGCCTAGCGGACAATTGGGCTCTAGCCGGGGAACATCGAGCGGGTCAGATATAACCGCAAATATCTGCGGGGTTGGCAGAAACCAATAAATCACCATTTACAAATAGGATTTTGGGTGAAAAGGCCCCAAAACTGAAAGTATTGGATTTGTCCTTTAATTGGTACACTGTACTACATTTCAACTTGAGTTTCAAAGAGTTACGCAAGTTCTAGAAGAAAGATTTGGTCAGGTGAAGAACTATATTTAACAGTCGCATTGACTAGTATTGTTGCTCGTTTATTTATATAGCATATTGTCATACACTGAAAAAATTAAAGGAGAAAAAAATACTTGATGACAGTTTCTTATTTTCATTTAATACACATGCCATATAAAGGGTATACTGATTTGTAATGACATTCTGCAATTTGTATGTTGAAGCAAGCTGAAAAATTAAATCATCAAGATCATCATCCTGATTATGCAGTAAATGACACAGGCTTCACAGATGCCATAGGTACAGGTTGATCATAAAAACATTTGGTAACTCAATAATATCACAGTATCACATTATCTACTTCAAAGTCTAAGTACATCCAGGCATTCAACATTTCTATTCCTCTTCATAATCGAATGAAGGCTAATTCTATATCCTCCTAGTATTCACTATAAATTTGATTTGAGAATTCTAACAATCTTACCAGATGTAAACCTTCGCATTCCCTGGATCTGAAACTTGAAGTTGAAAGCCTGCAGTGGTTGATGGCCATGTACTAGTAACCTTCAGTTCTCAGATCCTTGGTCTGTTGTCACTCTGTGAACACACTGCATCAGGAGACAAAATCAATACAGTCATGAACTGGACAGATGGGAATCTGGAAAACCATGAACAAATCACTAGATATCATGCTCGTGACATTCGGAAAGAAAATTGAATGTCAGAATCTAATTTGAAAGGCCAGACTATGATCTTTACATACATTTTTATGGAGGAGAAACTATGCACTGCTAGTATCTGCTTTAGCTCACAAAGACAGGCTCTAAGCTAGCTTCCCCATCAGAACACTGCCAGTTTGACCATTGTAACTGAAAGGCAATGACAGGCTTGCAGCCTGTACACAAGGCTAACAAAGACATACAATGATGAATGTATGCATTAAGATAACATATACTGTAAAGGCACCAATCACTTCTGCCATAGACATAATATTGACCCTATAAATTATTCAGATAATGGGATTTCTAAAAAGATGTATCATGATAACACAGTGTCAAAATATCCAGTGAGAGGCATAGTCATCACAGTTATCAGTTGATAATTGATATCTTGAAACATTAACAGGAACTAGCTGTAATTTGATCACTGTGTCATAGAAGTACATTTTAAGTTTTGCCTGTTACAACGTTTGAAGTGTCCGACAATGCTTGAACAATTCAATGGTAATCATGTGCAACAACTGAAAAATTTCCAGGAAATTACTATTCTTACTACCTTAGAAAAGGGTTCACCTATGCATGTAATTTTCTATAGCTCAAATAGGTACACAGCATTGTGTTGTGAAAAATTGAGTTGCATGTCTACTACTAGTACTAGTATATGTATTCCACTGTTGCTGGCCAATTTTATGCACCAGTAGTCATCAGCCAAAAGTATCATGTTTTGTTCTGAATACATAGAATAGTAAAGGTTAGAATGGTAAGCAAGCTTCATACTACAAATGTACGCCATCTGATTCTGATATTACATGACTTATGTGAATATCATTCTTCTGTATCAAATAGAAAGCGGTTCTTTTATGTTATATCTTATTACGACACAATCAATACATCACAGAGAGATATTCCATACGGGATTTCTTCAATGCATGCTTTCAATGTGAATACATTGGCTAGGGCCTTTCCTAAAACCCTCGACAGCTAAGTAATTGGAATCCTTTGTGAAAGAAAGTACAACAAACCTTTGTTCCCTGGAACATCCTGATTTGAATCACAAAGCAGTTCTACATTCAAGGACACAAGCTGCTTTCAACTAACTACCCACATGACAAAATATGTATTGTTTTATGCTTTCTCAGGCAGACACAATAGGCAAGACAGATCTGACAATTATACAAGTATCTGATCTGACATCCATAAAAATGCATATCTTACAAAGTTTGACCCTCCGAAAAGGTATTGTGCGAGCTTAATTCTCATGTACAACATATAAATTTTAAACAAAGATAAGTGATACCAAATTTATTCATGATCACTAATCAATAATAGAACGTGTGTACACTATCATTTAACTGCATATAAAACATTACAGTCAAGGCTTCAAAATGCACACCATTTACCATAAAACACCAAGTTATACCTACCGGTATTGCACCATATATACATACACATGCTATGCATTTGAAACACTGCATTCAACCATCAAATATGGTCAGACCGTCTTTGCAGATAAGCTGTCAGAAGTCATGATTATCTGCCCGGCAGCCAGTGTCACTAGTAAAGTCAACATGCTACTTTTTGCTGTCACTAGAATGCCTGCTAAAAGACTTACCTGATTTGGTACATTTTGTAAAGTGGATAATGTAGGGGTGCTACAATGTGATATTCAGAATGCTTGTTATTGTTATGGCTAACTTGCCAAAGAATAACATTAGCATTACTGACATGGTAATACTGCCCTAATAGATAAGACATTCCTTACCTCTGACACTTTTACCATTCTTCACATAACAGGGACTAAATGTTCACACCATGCCTGTGACGTGTCTATGTTGGGCAGTGAGCCGTGGTATGATTCAGATATACAAAGGATTCAAATATGGCTGTAATGCATTCTGAACCCAGTGGGATGATG